CCCGGTCCCCCCCGTCGCCCCCTGGACTTTTTACCCTCCTGTAACCGGGACTGCTTTCCCCTATTTTTGGAAACCGGAAAATTGCACGTTGTAAAAAAACCTTTTTTAAACCCTTTTCTTGGGGGGTTTTTAGTTGTTGATTTTGGGTTTATATCTATTTAAATGGACAGAAGGAAGAAGTCGTTTGTTTTTGCCGTTTTTAAATTTAATTTTTTTGGACATGATTTAAAAACTAATAGTTTTCCCCCCCCAATACCACTTTCTATTATTTTGAAAAAAAAGGACCTTTGTCCCAAATTGAATAAATGTTTTCTTGAATCTACAAAACCCCGGTAGATTTTGCCTTTTTTGTTTTTATTTGTTTTTAATTAGAGTCTGGAGGGTTGAAATGGGGCTGTTGTACGAAAATTTTTTTACAAATCCAATCGGGCTTCGCTTGGGAGGGTGTCATAAAGGGAAAATGTTTGTAATCTGCGTTATGATACTGCAGATATTTTCCCCAAGTCGTTTAATCTTTTCCGCCCCTCCCTCTCCCCTCTCCTTTTTTCCCCGCTCCCCCCCCCGCCCCCTCCCCCTTCCTCGTTTTTTGCCCTTTTCCCCCCCCCCCTTTTTTTCCCCCCCCCCCCCCCCCCCCCTTTTTCCCCTCTCTCTCCCTCTCTCCCCAAATTTCATTTAAAATTCAATAACTTTTTTGACATGGCAATTTAAATTACTTACATGTCAAAGATACATATAAAAAAAATGGTGGGGACCAAAGAAAATAATGAGATAAAAAGGGGGAATACCTTAAACCAACTACAACAACAAATTTATGAGAATAACAATAAAAAAAAGCAATAGTACGCCCCAATTCAAAGACGAAGACATTAAATGCTATGAAAGCCAAAACAAAACAGGAAATATTATTGACATTACATTACACTTTTCACTGGCTGTCCCTCGGGTTGTGGCAGGAGGACACATATTTGGCTGCCAAAATTTGCACATTTTGGCTTTTCACCCAATAAAATTTGATTTTTCTTCCTCTTTTATAGTTTCAAATTCTTTGTACTGAATGATAATTTTGGAAAAGAAAGATTCTCTTAGGTCTGAGTATTTGTCACAGTGTAATAGGAAATGCAGCTCTGTCTCTACCTCTCCCCAGGGGCAGAGTGAGCACAGCCTGTCCTCTCTGGCAGTCAGGTTTTGCCTGTGACGACCGGTCTCTATAGCCAGGACTGTGCTCACTGAGTCTGTACCTAGTCAGTGTTTTTCTCAGTTTTCTATCAGTCACAGTGGTCAGATAGTCTGCCACCATGTACTCTCTGTTTAGAGCCAAATAGCATTGAAGTTTACTTTGATTTTTTGTGGTGTCTTTCCAATAGGTGATATATTTTTCTTTTTGCTTTGTGATGATTTGGTTGGGCCAGATTTTCTGAGTGCTGTCCTGAGGCTCTATGAGGTTGGTTTTGGTTAGTGAACTGAGCCTCAGAACCAGCTGGCTGAGGGGACTCTTCTCTTGTTTTCATCTCTTGACATAGTAGAGCTGTGTGATGGAATGTTTTGGGGTCACTTGTTTTTAGATGGTTGTAAAATTTGATGGCTCTTTTTTCTATTCGAATAAGGAGGGGGTATTGGCCCAATTCTGCTCTACATGCGTTATTTGGAGTTTTTCTTTGCACTTGCAATACAGTCTTGCAAAACTCTGCATGCAGTATTTCGATTGGATGTTTGTCCCA